TGAGTGTTGATGAAGAGTCAATTTTTTTACTTTTGTATTTTATTTAGAGCTCTGCCTCTCCATTTTCCAGAATACCGAACGCTATTGATGGACTGTGGTTGGGGTGTGGAGAGGAGAGGAGAGGATCATCACATATTAACTACCATTCATAAGGACAAGATTTGATCCTGCATTGATTCGTCCTAGCCGGATCAACAGGCAAATCGAGTTGTCCAACTTCAAGCCTTTTAGTATTTTTAGTGGGGTCTATAAGAATAATTTTTTTATTTTATATTTTTATTTAATTTTTTTATATAATTTTTACATGTTATTAAATAAATAAATGTATTTAATATTACGGATCTCACATAAATTAAAAAAATTAATTATTTTAATAATACGTCAAATTATAAAAAAAATAAAATAAAATAATTATCCTAAATTCCTAATAGCATTTTCCTTTTTAATAGAACTAGAGGCTAAAAGAGGAGAAGGATTATTTTATTAATTAAATTGTATTATTTAAAAATATTATAATTTATTTAGTTAAAAATTTTCTTTTTTCCATTCCTCTTTAACTAAACATTTTAGTTAATTTTTTTTAGTGTTAGCCTCCAACTAAACAAACCTGGGCGTTCAAGATGGCAATAACCCTCTCCTGCAAGAAATTAAAAGCTTGCTGGGGCACACAGAGGTGACCCCTGCGTCTGTTGCTGAAGAATTTGTGGAAAAGTGAAGGCAGGGTTGATAATGCTCTTGGAGAAGTTAATTTTCTTGAGCTGAAGAAGATGGAAGAGATGAAAGAAACCACCGGGACGCTTGCCAAATCCAATTGGAGGAAATCAAAGAGAAGAAAATTATCAAAAAAAAATTGCATTTTATCTTGGAGTTCTTGAATAAATTTTTTTCGGCATTTTGTCTATGAGCAGTAGTGCTGCTAACACACTAGCTCAATATTGAATAATATAACTCGTGACTTTTCAAATATATCATATTTTTTAACACATTTGCTCATTCTATGTATGATATTGGGACCATCTTAGATGAGGAGAACCCCAATTTTAAGGCCCTTATTATAAAAAAAAAATTAATATTTTGTAATTTAAAATAATTTAAATTATAAAATATTTTTTAAAACCATTCTATGTATGATATTGGGACCATCTTAGATGAGGAGAACCCCAATTTTAAGGCCCTTATTATATAAAAAAAAAATTAATATTTTGTAATTTAAAATAATTTAAATTATAAAATATTTTTTAAAACCATAATTTGTGTATTCTCACTATTTTGTTTTGTGGCCACAGGCAAGCTCTAAGTCGCAGGCGGCAATCCCACCTGGTCTATATGGTGTTCGCCTGTTGGGGTAACTCACCTGTCTAAACTATTTTACTGGAGCAATGATGCAGCGGACAAAAACATGGGACGAAAATAAAAGATGACAAGTGATGTAAGGGGTAAAATGAGTATGATGCATCATTACTCATTTTCCTGAAAGAGGAAACCATGGGCAAGCCTGCCATGTCTCCTCGCCAGTCAAACAATCGCTTTTACCGACAGAACAGATCCCGCTATTGGGGTGTGGTACACCGTTTCTTCGGCACATGCATGGTTACATCTTATCTCTTATGTGGCAACCTAGCAAAATATCAG